TATGAATGCCCAGCTGTGAGAAGTAGCAAATCTATTAGGGGGACTTGTTGCCTAACAGAGTACAGCAAGGTTATGGGGTTATAACCTCACTTTCCTCACTTTGCTCAGACATAAACGCGTCCGGACAGTACAGCAGGTCACTTACACGGAAGCCTGAAAATACATGCGCCTTAGCTTCACGCCCCGTATTTTTTAGTTCAACATTTCTACTTCCTACCGAAATTTGTTTTTCTTTCATCCCTTCTTACTCTCGTCGTTCTTCCTTATATTCAGTTATAATTCATCACTTTCTTTCTTCCCGCGTTTGTCCATTTCATCCATTATTTCTTCCTTTAATCCTTTACTGACGTCCCCCTTTATTACTTACTTTTATCCTGTTTCCCTTTTAATCTTCCATTCTCTCTGTGTTTCCGTTTCCATCAACCTATTTTCTCGATATCACGACTCACGGTTCTTGAACCCCATTTACGAAGTAAGTTAGCCATCACTCGAGTTTTGCAACGAATTAGCTGTCACTAACGGACAACTGTCTGACTAACGGTTAAGAAGGAATAATGTGTCAGAGTTAAGTGTAATTATAATTATTGCACCTTGTTGTACAGCCATGTGTCTGTAACATCAGAACAACATCCGACGTTTTCTTGCAAATAACTCGAAGCAAAGCAATATCCTGTCAGTCATACATTGCTCGAAAATAAGAACAAAATAACTATTACACGCAACTTGTCATATAAAATGTGTCATGCAATGTCGTATTTCAAAACCTGAAGGGATCAGATCAGTTGTAAAACCTACAAGTAAAGAGAAGAATAAGTGGATCTTAAAGAAACAGGACTTGAGAGTCTAAACTGGATTAATTTGAAGATGGCTGTCTTCTGGGGTGTAGCTCTTTGTAGTCTTGCAGAAATTTACTGACGTTCATAGGAGCGTGCTACCGGCATCATCAGGGCGATTTATAAGATGAGTGCCGCTACGATTTAAAAGTATACTATTTTAATATTTCTAATATGTTGTATTATGTTATATATCGATAGTTTTGGCAGTGTGCTGCGTTCAAAGTTTTCAATTCATACAACGGGATATAACCACTTAAAATATGTTTATAGTATTATTGTTCTTCTTGTGTATCACCTCAGTACAAATCCGTGCTTCTTTATCAGCTGGAAGAGTTGTCATGTGGCTGTAGTAATATCGTGGAAACACGTCTTGTAAGACACGCCCATTCATATGTTACACAGTAATGTATTCAAATCATTATTAAAATGTCTCTGGCTTCGACTAGAGAAACCATTACAGCGTTCCTGGTTCGCCGGTAGCATATCGAAAGGCCTTAGAAACGATTCCCAAGCCGATTGTTTATAATTATATTTTCTTAGTAATTCCTTAAAGTATGACAATCGATAACCGTGTTTCTATTGAACATCACAAATTTATTGATATAATGCAATCACCTGCAGTCCGCTACAGCATCTGCAAGGGATACGAGGGGAGGAAGTTGATTAGCAGAAATCACATTTTCTGCAGACATTAAAGGTCAGCTTTGGTTAGAATATTAGTTCGTTCATCAGTAAACATAATTTCAGGCCTTTATCATAATCCACCCCTCGCAACCATACCTACTCGTATCGTCCCAATTATTCAGGGTGGTGGGGTGATTGAACCAGGAAACAGCCTCTAGGTAGTTTAGATACAGTGTGTATCCAAACAGAGGATGATGCCTTCCAACCAATGTGTCTTCGGGACTTTGTTCCAGCCACCCAGAGAGGCTGAAAACTGCTTCATCAAGGCTCGACCTGCCGTGTGGACAGATCTCGAAACGCTAGAATAGCCTACTCAAACTAAATTTGAGTCTAGAAGAACATCGTTAAAGGCTGTACTGACATCTTCTGTCTTGTTGTGAATATTGTGAACTGATGATGCCGACTTATGGAGGGAAAACATAAACAGAGTTAAGAAATTCTATTAGACGTAAAATATTACAAAATATCAGGCTCTCATGGCAGTGAGTATGAAGATGACTGTCTTTCGAGATTTTGCGACGTACTGTCTCATAGAAATTTACCGACGTTTCTACTAGACTACATGCCGCAACGACTTCTTGGTAGTAAGGAAGTTGGTCTAGAAACAATTCGCACCACAATGAAGAATATATTCATATTATTAAATTAACCTACTTAATAATGAGAACGACAGCAAGAAATGTGAATTATAATCACGGAGAAGTTAGGAGAATATTAAAATCTGGGAAAATCTGCTACTCTTCAGTTCTGAATCGTTACCTTATCGACTCTTATCCAAAAACCTATCGACTGTAGTAGTATTATACCATAAATTGGTGTTAAAACCCAGTACTCTGTTGTATAATATGGACGTGAAATTTGGTGTCTTTTATAAGGGAAGACCTCGGATTGAGAACAGATGGCAAAGTAAACCTAATTATAAGATTATTTAGACGTAAGAGAGGCAGAAACAGATAAAAGGGATAAAATTACATAGGAATCAGAAGCCTCATGATTTATTCTTTTCACCTAACAGAATATTACGATGGAGATCAGAACATGGGGAAATGGGGTATATAAAACTGTGGTAGGAAAACCTGAAAGAAAGCGATAACCTACATGATCTAAAGATAAACAGAAGGTTAACATTTAAATGAATCTGAAGGAAATATCTGAAAGTGTGAATATTATTTAACTGACTAAAAAAGGGGTCCATTACCAGGTAATTGTGAGCAAGATACTGAACCTGAAGAAAAAGTGAGTGATTTCTTAGCTGTGCGAAGTACTGTCAGCTATCCAAGAGTGAATTTCGTCCATGGAGATTAAACATTACGGACAAAAGTACAGCAACGAAGACGTTCCGTATCGGAGACTTACAAACAAACGAACACAGCTTAGATTCAGTCCTTTCGTGAAGGATAATAGCCCACTTACCAGTGCAGAAATATGACGAAGCTAATAAACAAAACATACAATTTTCTGTCGTCTTACGAAATGGTTAGCGTATAATTTCGGTACAGAGTAGGCCTATTGTGAAGTGGCGGTAACTGATTTTTCCGTAAATGCATCTGCTATGTAATGCACAAGTCGTTTAACGCTGTAACGTGCCCTTCATATGCGTAGATCCATATATAACCGAGCTTTTATTGTAAATTAAAACACAATTAGGCCTACATCAGAATGTCCAAACATTTCTGGAAGAAAATTATGTTGTCTGTGCAAATTGAAAGTCAGACGTACCGTTACATATTTCATGAACTGTTGAACCGTTCCACGGTGTTCTGCACGGGTTTTTGAAGAGATGTAAAATTAGAGTATTCTAGTAAGCCTAGTTTTTATTCAGTCGCTTAAGCACGATTTGTTAGTGTCTCGTCCTGTGTTAAGAAGCTGATAAGAGATCAGAGCATAGTACACCAAAGACATTTTTGTTTAATACTACCGTATTACAGAAATTAACTTCAGAATAGTCGGTCTAATGTTAGAATTAGGCAAATGTAATTTTAGATTATCGACTGTTTTAATTACAACAGCACTACGATAATGTTATTCCGTACGTTTGTTCAGTATTTCATAGGATTTTGACTTCGTCTTCGGGTGAGTACAGACATAGTAGCCTTGATAGGCCTGTACAGCAGCCTGCTGTTTTCCCCGAACACCTCCACCCAAGGCCCATTCAATAAACGTAAGTTTGGAATTTAACCTTGAGAAACTAGCCCATATAGTATATGTTAAAGTCTACATAACACTGAGTCTATTAAATAATTATAAATTACAGACTTAAAATAGGCCTAATTAATGAGACTAATTATGCACTTTTAGGAAAGAATACGCCTACTGTAGAACTTATACTGACAGCTTTTGTACTTTGTCCATCATAACTTTTCCGTACTTCCATCTTCAGGTGAGGAGTGCTTACTCAGGGGAGTCTCAATTATTGGTCCAGATGGGAGCAGATCTAGCTCCAAAAATATATTGATCTGTTTGCAGAATACAGGATGATTGACAAAATTCCAAAACCATTCAATACTAACAATAATAAACGATCGTCAGTATCCTTTAAAATTGTTTTGCTTTTACGCTGATAAAAATAAGAGATAGCCCTGCAGGTTAAGACGCTCCACGATGGAGTAAATTAGCCTGATTGTATATGTCATAATACCTGAGTTATCTTTAATTTGCTTCAATATAAAACACGTGTTTTAGAATAGTCCAAAGTACTAATAATCGAAAGCTTATAGCCCAACTGTGAACCTCCCTGTCCACACTTATAAAGTAGTTCACAGGTCACGATGTGGAATCTTTACACTAGTTGGACTCTGGTAGGGTCAAGGTGATACTCCATAGGTGCCAAGTAATTCCTGTGACGTGCATTCGAGAACTGCCCTGTTCGAATTTCGGCCGGTAGGCAACGACCGATTCGTTACGGACCCCAAAATCATTGAATGCTATAATTTTCTCGTAGCCTATCATTCGAAGCTGAACATTCGCTGAAGTTGACAGAAATGTAGCATTGTTAAATAACTTAGAATTATACATTTAATACAGGTGTACCAATGTTCACCTACTAAATAATGATGACGGTTACACAAATACAGTTCTAAAAAATACGTAACTCATTTGATGTTCACGTTAGTGAAGTGTCCGGCTATTTTTAATACTCAGTCTGTCTCCATGCTTTTTAAAGTAAAGTAGCCCACCTAGGTGAGATTTTGGGTTCTCACGGCGGCAAGCGTGAAGTTGGATGTCTTCTGTCTTCGCCCTGATGATGAGGGCAGAAGGCAGATCTGTAACATCGGTAAACTTATACCAGAATACCCTGCGCAACAACGTAGAAGACATCCATCTTCTAGCCTACATGATTCCGTATTTCAGAATAATAACATTTCGAAGCTTAACGAAACGCATAGGCATATTAAAAATAGGCTACTGAACCTGCGAGTGGTTTGGTTACTGCCCGCTTTTCGCAGTGCAGTCGACGACCGACTGCACCGTCCTTCTCACCTGGCGAGCCTCCTAATCCTGCCACTGCAAAGGCTGCAGCCGCCGCCGCTGGTCCCGGGAACATGGAACCAGGGTAGTGTCCCACCAGCGTGGACGCGGCCCAGGAGTTGTGGTGGTGCTGTGGGGCGTGGTGGTGGTGTTGGAGGCCGGCCGAGTACGCGGCCGCCGCGGCAGCAAGGGCCGAGAAAGGAGTCGGTCTGACCGGAGTCACCATGCCGGCACCGGGACCATGCCCGCCCGCTAGCATGAACCTCGCGGACAGCATATCCGCCGAGCCGCCTCCCTGATGCATCGGCGGTGGTGTTACCGGGGTCGGCGTGCTGACGGGGGAATTGGAGTCCCTGAGAACTTCAACGTCAACAGCACTTCCTTGTTCGGACTCATCGTCATTCAGTTCATCGTCCGAGGAAGTCAGGGGGTTCTCAGACTGATAAGGGGTGGACGATTCTAGGGGTGGCGATTGTGAAGATAGGAACGACGGGGATGCCCTGTGTCGCGGTGACGGTCGGGTGTCCGCTAACAGAGCCGCTACGCTGAAACTGATGTGGCTGGTTCTTGAGCTGGTGGTTTGGTGTTGCTGATGATTCGCTGGTGTTGCTTGGGGTGGCAGCTGAGCGCTGGCCTTCACTGTTCCACCGGCTGTAGCCATGGCATTCGTTTCTTCGCCGGACTCCAGCTGCATCATAGAGTCTATCTTGACGGTAGCAGCCGAGGGTATGCCCCCTCCACCACCCGTGGCCGTCCCGACGCTGTTGGTTTTGTCTTTAGATGCAGAGAGTTGGTGATGGTGGCTCAGTTTCAACACGGTCATGCTAACTGCGGGGGATTCCTCAAGCATGGAGCAGTCGAAAAAAAAAAAATCTCAGTTTCCTTCGTTTAATTCAAAGAATGGTCTGTGCAACTTGCCATTGTCTCGGTGGGGCAGTGGCAACCGCGAAGCTTTCCATAGCAAGTACGACAATCCATTCACACAATTGTCTCACCTAGAACACTGCACTCATGTTTGAATATTATTACTCCAAATTACTTCTTCACCGTTTACACCTAACCTAATTATGCATTATGAAGAGACGTGAACGCACTTTTGCTCAGTCACCGAAATTTATTTTTCCCCCGTCGGGGTGGGGGTTATCGCGTTGCAACCCCTTTCTCCTCTCCCAAACGGTAGCAGAGAACCTACGCACCCTTCCCTGGAGAGGCCGAAACCAGTACTGTCGGAGGGACCGGGTCTCTGGCTACGGGTCCGGTCGAGCAAGCGAGACGCAGCGCCGTGAGCGAGACAAAGCTGGGGGCGGACTCAGTGGGCGGAGCCTCCCGCTAACAAACCCCGCCCCTCAAATTCACTTCGTTTTTAATGAAATTGACTCTTTAGAAGACGGTTTTACAGCCAATAGGGAGTCGACGGATTGTGTCCATGACGTCACAAAACATCCCCTTTCCCGATTTCTGTCTCGCTTTTTTATCATTATTGGGTTTTTGTTCTTTCTCGTTCTGTCGCTGCCCCATCCTATCCCATCCGCTCTTGTTAACTTGTTTGATAAATTACATATGGCCGTGGTGAAGTGGGTTCATTGTTACATCTGTGTAAATCGTTTATTTATGGTTCAATTATGTAATGTATTGTTGTGGCTGTTGTGACCTCAGGCAGTAACAGCTCTATTACGATGTACAAAGTACAAAGGGCATAGGCCTATTGTTATTACAGTCGATATGTGGACATCGATATGAAGACTCGTGTCACTGAGATTTATTTAAACCCGCAAAAACTGCTGCCAACCTCAAATATGGAACACAACAGTCTTTTCTGAATTATATTTGGCTTCATCACGTCACTGAGTTTGTGTCTCCCCATAAGCAGAAGTCAAAGTACATTTGTAAACGTTGTGGTATGAGACTAGCGCAGTGTTTACGTAACTTAAGAGGAAAAATTTACTATGTAGGCCGCATTAACTACTAACATGTCTTCGAACTCTCGTTGTCAGCTGTCTGACAGAAACAATTTTCTCTTAAGATCTTCGAGTTGAAATCTCTTAGTAAGACGCTAATGTGGCCTGCAGGTTTGATCGAACCAGGTTATACATTCCATCTCCTCAGCTGCAGATTCAGAACAATAACAGTTACTTCAGTTGTCTTTCAGTAGCCTATTATATACAAGCCTACAGGATGTAGGCCTGCCATTTAAAACGCAAACCTAACCTCACAATCGCACACTGCGGAACAGCATAAGTAGATCCACCCCACCCTCCAGCCTTCGTCCAGACACTCGAGTTAAGATTGGTTTCGTTGCTAGGTCGCTGATTACGAAGGTTGCGCAAAGTTTATGCAAGTGAGATATTAATCGGCAGCCGACAAATCTGTGTCATATTCACACTGTAAGGACTCATGTAGTCGCTAATAGCGGTAGCCAAACTTTACGTTTGTCTTGTAGTTTTTAGAATATTATTCACATAGCCTCTACCAGAGCTTCTCAGACTTTTTGTAATTCACGGACCTATAAACAGATGACGTGAGATGGTATAAGGAAAAATTATAACTTTCTGGTACATGACAGATGACCTATAGGTCTATATGAAATTTGTTATTATGATGTAGTAAATTACAGACTAGGCATGTGGAATTGTTAGAATAATAGTAGCCTCTTAAATACTACAATTTGCTTTTTTCATAATTATAAATAGGCCTACACCTCGTTATTGGCGAGTGCCTTGGATGCTTGTTTATTTATGGTCTGGCCCACTCCTCTTAACAAAATTCTGTCCGTGCTTGTGACTCAGTCTAACTACCAAGGAGAGATGAGAGCCACAGATAAGTAGAATTGTTTATTGAAGAACAAAGCTCAGGGTGCCAAGTTTATGTAAGCTTCCACCTCTTGTTAGTTGGTATTTCAGAACACATTTATTATTCATTATCGGTAAATGGGAAATGTTCTTTTACCTGAATACCACCCACTGATCATCATAGTTCGGCGTGATGTCTCCGCGCTCTTGATTCAGATTGTGTAATAATGTTGCACCGCTTGAAATTAAATTATTCGAATACACAATTAAAAGCAACGACATGGAATCAGTTCTCTGAAACACTTAGGGGAGCCCAGGATAGAACGGAGAACTTAATCTTTGGTGGCATGTGGAAGGGATAATAACAAAGACAAACACATGGAGGAACCTTGTATGGATTTATTTTCTATTTGAAATTTATAATGAGTTATTAGTTTAGTTCTAAGAGTTATAGTTTTTTAAAAAAATATTAATTTCTTTACAAGAATGTAACTTGCCCAATTTTGACCCTTACCCGGGGCAAGAGGGGGGTATGGTTGATATATGTTTGAAAAGTTGTAAGAAGACATAGATTATGTAATAAGTATGACGTGGGATGTAAAAATGATTTAGTATACAATGAAAAATTTCGAAACTTTACGCATTTCAAATCTACTTAGGCCTAACACAGACGGCACACATGTGAACCTCTTCATCATCGTGACTATCAACACTTGCACATGAGTTATGGGCCCGTTTCTAGCAAGACTAATGCCGGATCCACCCTTCAATAGACTGCGAATAGACATCGCCAAATTACAGGCACTTGTCATTTGATCGTCTTCTCTGGGTACCCCATTCTGCCCCACTCCATCCTGCCGCGAGTATATTCTTTCAAATTAGAATTGTCCCAACAAAAATAACATAATGAAATAAATAAAAATATTGTGTTTAAGACTTTCAAGAAAACACCTTGTAACATGCATCATTCAACTAAGTGGATATGAATAATGAATAGGTCTTACCTTCACCGGAATTTGAGAAAAATTTGTAAAATGTAGGATCAAAATTCAGCATGGGTGATTATTTCAGAAACTGTAAGCACAAAATGGCGCTGACTGACATGACATAACCCTGTGCTGTATGATAATGATACTTCACCCGGTCCCGATAGATCGCAACGCATTGCAGACGAAATAAAGCTGATACCCTGTTCTGCTCCGTGGCCCCGTTCTGCCCTGGGATCCCCTAATTAGGAAATTAGTCCTATTTTTTTACATGCTTTTCATATTTTACATAAAATGAACGCATATACTCCGCATGTTACATCTCCCAAACCACTTAATGAATTTCTATTAAATTTACCATGATGCCAAATGAAACAAGTGCAGTGAATACTAAAATACTAATATTGATTATTCTTATCAAAAATATATCCTATTTTTCACCAGTGCTGTGTGGGAATGCAAGCTGAAATGTTCCAAAATCCATTTGTTTGGCCAATGAAATAATATTTCCAAGCAAACTAGCTGCACGTAACGTTCCATGGTCTGAGAGATTGCTTGATTCAGTAATTTCGAGTATAGTGGGCCGAACACCGGCTGTTCCGCCTGAGGTTTTTCGTAGTTTTCTTTATCCCCCCCCCCCAAAAAAAATGTTTTAAAATATCCCTCAGTCCCTTCTATCAAATATATCCTATACATTCAATCAATCATCCTATCATTCAGGTGATCGAACGTAGCAGCCGAATGGGCTGCTTCATACTCAGAGTGTTCTCATTTCATATCTCGGCCCGAAGATAGATAATTGTGGCTGAGAATGTTCGTGGTTTTCTTCAGCCCTTCTAGGAATATTCCAGGATATTACCTCAAATTAAGCCACCTTCTCTTCCATCCACATCCTTCACGATTCATTGTTCTTTCTGAAATTATACACTATACAGAATATTCTGAGCTACTGATAAAGTTGATAAACAAATGAACAAAAACAAAATAATATCATTCGAATTTTAACAGCCTAAACTGTTGAGGAATCGCTGCGGAGTAACTGAGTTATCAATCAATAAAACAATCGATCAATTAGCGTTCATATTCACCCGCCATTATGCAAAGACATACGAATGAGAGATAACCGGAATACACACATGCATTTTTTTTGCAAATTCTGAATTATCAACGAAAGATTACTTATGTTTTCTTCCTTAGGAAAGTTCAGTTTCAAACTGCACATGTCAGGAGGTCTTAATACCTTAATCAAGTAACTGAAGTCTATATCAGCACGTTATAGGGCGCTGTGAAAGCGTACAAAATACGTCCGCAGGAGGACATTGGTTTCAATCATGGTCTAGTTTAAATACTGTTTTCACTTCGTGTTGTTCTACATTATCCGAAGAGTTATATAATATAAAATATAAATTCCCAAATTTATTTAGTTTTGTGAGCTTTCTGAACAATTTACATCATTTTTTGATTTTTTGAAAAATTTGAAATTTTCTTTTTCAAAATTCTCCACATCCGTTACCTGCTAGAACCGATGTCTGTCGGACACGATCTCTGATGCACAAGTTCTCCGACGGACAAGTCTCTACCGGACTCGCTCCCTACACTAACCGGTCCTTGTATGACCCGGTATATGACGGGCCGTCTCTCCAAAGACATAGTCCGGCAGAGACCGGGTGATGAAGAGGCCGTGTCTTGCAGTCTGTGCGAGGCAGAGTCCGGGTCTAGCAGAGACCGGGTGTGGCAGGAGAGAGACTAGCAGAGACGGGGTTTGGTGGTGATCGGATGGAGAAAATTCTGAAAAATTTCAAAATTTTCGAAAAATAAAAAATGCTGGATGCTGTCTAAAAAGCATACAAAAACAAAAATTTTCAAAATTCTTAAAAAAAATAAGTTAAAAATTCCCAATTTTTTTAGTTTTGTGCGTTTTTAGACAATTTTCAGCGTTTTGCATTTTTTCAAAACTTTGGAAATTTGACATTTTCTTCAAAAATCTCCTCATCTGATAGAACCGGTGACTGCCAGACACGGTCTGACTCACACTCTCTGACGGACGCTGTCTATGCTGGACTCGGGCTCTCCACGACCCGGTCTGTGTATGACCGTCTCTGCCGTGTCGTCTCTGCAAACACCTAGACCGGCAGAGACCGGGTAATTCAGTGAATGCGTCAGGCCGAGAGCTGGTGACGCAGAGTTCGTGTCTTGCAGAGTCTGTGAGAGGCAGAGTCCGGGCCTAGAGGCCAGTAGTAGGACAGAGACTAGCACAGACGAGTTGTGGTGAGACAGAGACTGCGTCCGGCAGAGAACGGGTGATGCTGAGACCGTATCTTGTGGAGTCTGTGAGCGGCAGTTACCGGGTCTAGCTGAGACAGTGTTTTGAAGGACAGAGACTAGCAGACGTGTGGTGGTGGTGATGATCCGTTGGATAATTTTCTTTTAAAATTTTTCGTAATTTTCGAAGTATTATATTATGCTGGAAATTGTCTAAAACGATCACAAAATCAACTTTTTTCAAAACGCCACCCAAGAGATGCATGCCAGCCTCGGTGAATGCCACATCCTGTCTCGGACGGACACGGCCTCTATATCACCCGGTTGCTGACTGCATCGGTGTCTGCTCCAACCGGCCTCTTCACGATTCGGTGTGTGGCCGACCGTGTCTCTGCCCGTCTCG